GGCCTGGGGACTGAGGCCGGTATGGTATATGGAGCTTTTGTTTAATTCCCAAGGCTTGTATCATTGCTGTAAAAATTTCTCCTACAAAGGCTCCCCCATTGTCAGAATCTATTATTTCAGGGGTGCCATATCTATATACTACCTCATTAAAAAACTTTTTGGCCACTACCCTGGTGCTATTATCTTTAGTAGGAACTGCCTCCACCCATCCTGAAAAGAAATCAATTATCACCAATAAATACTGGAATCCTTCCTTACTCCTATCAGTAAAATCAATTTGAACCTTGTGCCACAGCCCAAGCCTTTGTTGGTGCATCATGGGTTCTCAGTGTGGAGGATGAGCCTTGTCCTGAGCGCACCGCACACAATTTCGCACCCATGTTTTAACATCATCTTCCATACACTCCCATTCTGCTACTTGCTTTAGCCTTCTTAAAGTCCCTACCACTCCTTCATGCATCAACTGATGGGCTACGTTAAGTGTGAGCTGTAGCTCACGAAAGCTCATGCTCAAATAAATGGGTTAGTCTCTAAGGTGCCCCAAGTCCTCCTGTTCTTTTTCCCGTCTTTCTATTCTTCCTGGAACTTGGTTAGGGTGGGTTGTAGTGCCATCTGTTGGCTCGGATGTGTCAGCACAGATTCTCCGTTTCTGACCTCTGGTTACAACTGCTATGCCATGCTGTCGGGCTATTGTATTTACCCGGTTATTCCAGGTGGCCTCCATACCCGTTCCTTTATTGTGTGCCTTTACATGTCGCACCTTCTTTGTTACCCACTGGTAAATCCATTTCCATTCCTCTGAATATGCAATATCCTTTCCATCTTCTGCTTTCCACTTGTTCCGATATCAATCACGTATCCAAATCTGTATCCCCTTCACACAAAAATCACTGTCAGCATAAATATACATGGGCCGTGGGGAATTTTCGTATTGCCTTAAAACCTGATAAATTGCATGGAGCTTGGCATGCTGAGCCGATCCATGGTCTAAATGTCCCTGAATGACTTCCTCTTGTAAGTTAACAGCAGCGTATTTTACACATCTTTTCCCTTTTACTCCCATTGCATTCCCATCAGTAAATCAGATGTGCTTTTCTTGACCCATGGTATTTAATTCTTCCAGTGGGGGTGCCTCTACCAAGGCAATTCTTTGCTCCAGAGTGACCTCTGGACATTCATGTCAGTTTCCTTTTTCAATAAGGGCATGTGTTAGCATGTCTGGCTTGGACACTCTTTCTGTGGTCACCCCTATGTTAACTAAAATAAGCATTCATTGAGCGGTTCGGGTGTTTGAGGCTTTACCTCCTATTAATCTCCCTGACAAAATGTACTTGAGAGGAGTGTGGGTGCTTTGGATAGTAATAGGGGCCATTCCTTTGAGGGGCTCAAAAGATTGTACTGCCTAGATAGCTGCTAGACACTCACATTCACAGGGATCAAAATTTATTTCTGCTCCTTGTAATTTCCTGGATTCATTTGCTACTGGCACTAGCTTTCCCTCTTCATTATTTTGTAACAGTGTGGCAGCCAAGGCCATATTACTGGCTGCCAAACGAATAACAAAAGGCTGAGATTCATCAGGGAAACACAGGGCTGGGGCTGTGAGAACCTTTTGTTTAACAGGGTTAAAGCGGAGTCCTGCCCTTTCCCCCCTTCCCATTCTGTCTTTTTCTTTAGCAGTTTCCACAATGGGTGAGTTATTTCAGCATATTTATAAATGTGTGGTCTAAGAAAATTGAATCCTCCTAACAGTACTCTTAAAGAATGGGTGACGGTAAGGGCCAGCATTTCTACCAGTGCCCTTACCTTCCTCTGATCTACCTGTCTCCCTTCTTGTCCAGCGACTATGCCAAGGTATGTAGCCTGAGGTAGCACCAACTGAGCCTTGTCTAAGGCTACTTTAAACCCTGTTTCCTGAATTAGTGCCAAAACTTTTTTCATTAGTGTTTGAGATTGTGCCTCAATTTCCCTTTTTTATACAGAAGACCAAGTTTGTAATGCTTTTTTTTTCTGCTGTGCTAAGCTTTAAGTTTATTCACAGGTAATAGCTGAGAAGCATCATTACCATATGACCTTAAAGGTAACATTAAACATTGGGATAAACTTAATATTAACATCAAATCTATTAAAAGTATCTTGTTATCCCATGTTTTTTATTTAGAAAATTTGTTTTTGAGGCCAGTGTGTTCAGTGTTCTCTTGAAATTCCTTGTACAGGCTTTTAAATTTAATTATATCCTTGGGGTTTAGGTGAATTAAAAGGTAGGGGTGTCATGCATATAAACGGACCCCTTTTGTACCTGTCTTCAGATTTCAGCACTTCATACACACAAAAATTAGTATATGTTTTCTACTTAGGGTTAACCTGTCCCTCTCTTATTCTTTAGTTTGACTCCTTTGTGCTGCCATTTATGGGCAGTTCTTTTCTTCCTGTATCAGTTAGGTAATTTGCATTAACACAGAGGCTTTCTGGCTTACTTTTCAATCCAAAGCCATCAGCACCTCAGAGACTCTGTCTTAAAAGGGACACAAGCAACTTCCAACAGAGTTTTGATTTCTTTCCACTTTTAACTTCTGCTTCCAAAACATACAGCGATTTGAAAAAGAAAACACAACCTATTGTGTCTCCCTTTGGATCCCTAATAGGATTTTAATTAAGTAGTATGGTATGTTTTCACATTTCTTTTACCCCTTCTACAATATACACTGCACACGTTTTGGGGAAAATGCACATTGCTTCCATAGTTTAACTTCTATAAGATTAGCCATATAAATTTTTATATAGGGAGTAGCTGTTTCTTTTGTGCTCACAGAGTTTTTATGTACCCTTATTAAAGTGACAGTTTGATTACACAGAGCCACCTTAAGGCTCAGTGTGGGGCACTGTCTTTTTTTTTTTTAATTTCTTATTTTTTTACTACACTCTTATCTGCTATTTTGTTACCAAAAAACAAATCCAGAATCTCTTCCCATTCTTCTGGTTTTGACTGCCTTGCTGCAGCCATGGCTTTGGTCTTTAAAAAGATATTGAACTTATAAAGCAGTAAGGGTATGTCTACACTACGAAATTAGGTCAAATTTATAGAATTCGGTTTTTTAGAAATCGGTTTTCTATATTCGAGTGTGTGTGTCCCCACAGAAAATGCTCTAAGTGCATTAAGTGCATTAACTTGGCGGAGTGCTTCCACAGTACCGAGGCTAGCGTCGACTTCCGGAGCGTTGCACTGTGGGTAGCTATCCCACAGTTCCCGCAGTCTCTGCTGCCAATTGGAATTTTGGGTTGAGATCCCAATGCCTGATGGGGCAAAAAACATTGTCACGGGTGGTTCTGGGTACATATCGTCAGGCCCCCGTTCCCTCCCTCCCTTCATAAAAGCAAGGGCAGACAATCGTTTCGCGCCTTTTTTTCTGAGTTACCTGTGCAGACGCCATACCACGGCAAGCATGGAGCCCGCTCAGCTCACTGTCACCGTATGTCTCCTAGGTGCTGGCAGACATGGTACTGCATTGCTACACAGCAGCAGCAACCCCTTGCCTTGTGGCAGCAGACAGTGCAATAGGACTGGTAGCCGTCATTGTCATGTCCGAGGTGCTCCTGGTCGCCTGTGTGAGGTCGATCAGGAGCGCCTGGGCAGACATGGGCGCAGGAACTAAAGTTGGAGTGACTTGATCAAGTCACTCTCTTTAGTCCTGCAGTCAGTCCTATTGAACTATCTTATGGTGAGCAGGCAGGCGATACGGATTGCTAGCAGTCCTATTGCATCATCTTCTGCCGGGCAGCCATGAGATGTGGATGGCATGCAGTCCTTCTGCACCGTCTGCTGCCAGCCAAAGATGTAAAAGATAGATGGAGTGGATCAAAACAAGAAATAGACCAAATTTGTTTTGTACTCATTTGCAAAGCTGCCCCCCGTCTAGGGGACTCATTCCTCTGGGTCACACTGCAGTCACTCACAGAGAAGGTGCAGCGAGGTAAATCTAGCCATGTATCAATCAGAGGCCAGACTAACCTCCTTGTTCCAATAAGAACAATAACTTAGGTGCACCATTTCTTATTGGAACCCTCCGTGAAGTCCTGCCTGAAATACTCGTTGATGTAAAGCCACCCCCTTTGTTGATTTTAGCTCCCTGAAGCCAAGCCTGTAAGCCGTGTCATTAGTCGCCCCTCCCTGCGTCAGAGCAACTGCAAACAATCGTGCATCTGAGTTGAGAGTGCTGTCCAGAGCAGTCACAATGGAGCACTCTGATGGGGCTAAAACATTGTCGCGGGTGGTTCTGGGTACATATCGTCAGGCCCCCGTTCCCTCCCTCCCTCCGTGAAAGTAAGGGCAGACAATCGTTTCGCACCTTTTTTCCTGAGTTACCTGTGCAGACGCCATACCACGGCAAGCATGGAGCCCGTTCAGCTCACTGTCACCGTATGTCTCCTGGGTGCTGGCAGACGCGGTACGGCATTGCTACACAGCAGCAGCAACCCCTTGCCTTCTGGCAGCAGACAGTACAGTACTGGTACCATTTAAAGGTGCGCTGGTGCAGTTTACTGACTCGCTTAGACCTCAGTGAAACCAATATTCCCACTGTTATTACTGCTTGCTGTGCGCTCCACAATATCTGTGAGAGTAAGGGGGAGACGTTTATGGCGGAGTGGGAGGTTGAGGCAAATCGCCTGGCTGCTGGTTACGCACAGCCAGACACCAGGGCGGTTAGAAGAGCACAGGAGGGCACGGTACGCATCAGACAAGCTTTGAAAACCAGTTTCATGACTGGCCAGGCTACGGTGTGAAAGTTCTCTTTGTTTCTCCTTGATGAAACCCCCCACCCCTTGGTTCACTCTACTTCCCTGTAAGCGAACCACCCTCCCCTCCTCCCTTCGATCACCGCTTGCAGAGGCAATAAAGTCATTGTTACTTCACATTCATACATTCTTTATTCATTCATCACACAAATAGGGGGATGACTACCAAGGTAGCCCAGGAGGGGTGGTGGAAGAGGGAAGGAAAATGTCACACAGCACTTTAAAAGTTTACAACTTTAAAATTTATTGAATGCCAGCCTTCTTTTTTTTGGGGCAATCCTCTGTGGTGGAGTGGCTGGTTGGCTGGTGGCCCCCCCCACCGCGTTCTTGGGCATCTGGGTGTGGAGGCTATGGAACTTGGGAGGAGGGCAGTTGGTTACACAGGGGCTGTAGCGGCAGTCTGTGCTCCAGCTGCCTTTGCTGCAGCTCAACCATACACTGGAGCATACTGGTTTGATCCTCCAGCAGCCTCAGCATTGAATCCTGCCTCCTCTCATCACGCTGCCACCACATTTGAGCTTCAGCCCTGTCTTCAGCCCGCCACTTACTCTCTTCAGCCCGCCACCTCTCCTCCCGGTCATTTTGTGCTTTCCTGCACTCTGACATTATTTGCCTCCACGCATTCATCTGTGCTCTGTCAGTGTGGGAGGACAGCATGAGCTCAGAGAACATTTCATCACAAGTAGGTTTTTTTTTCTTTGTAATCTTCACTAGCCTCTGGGAAGGAGAAGATCCTGTGATCATTGAAACACATGCAGCTAGTGGAGAAAAAAAAAGGGACAGCGATATTTAAAAAGACACATTTTATAAAACAGTGGCTACACTCTTTCAGGGTAAACCTTGCTGTTAACATTACATACGTAGCACATGTGCTTTCGTTACAAGGTCGCATTTTGCCTCCCCTCACCGCGTGGCTACCCCCTCAACCCTCCCCCCTCCCCGTGGCTAACAGTGGGGAACATTTCTGTTCAGCCACAGGCAAACAGCCCAGCAGGAATGGGCTCCTCTGAGTGTCCCCTGAAGAAAAGCACCCTATTTCAACCAGGTGACCATGAATGATATCTCACTCTCCTGAGGATAACACAGAGAAATAAAGAACGAGTATGTTACTGGCCTGGAGTGGTAAAGTGTCCTACCATGAAGGACGCAATAAGGCTGCCCTCCCCAGAAACCTTTTGCAAAGGCTTTGGGAGTACATCCAGGAGAGCCGCGAATGCCAGGGCAAATTAATCCTTTCACATGCTTGCTTTTAAACCATGTATAGTATTTTAAAAGGTACACTCACCGGAGGTCCCTTCTCCACCTGCCGCGTCCAGGAGGCAGCCTTGGGTGGATTCGGGGGGTACTGGCTCCAGGTCCAGGGTGAGAAACAGTTCCTGGCTGTCGGGAAAACCGGTTTCTCCGCTTGCTTGCTGTGAGCTATCTACAACCTCATCATCATCATCATCTTCTTCGTCCCCAAAACCTGCTTCCGTGTTGCCTCCATCTCCATTGAAGGAGTCAAACAACATGGCTGGGGTAGTGGTGGCTGAACCCCCTAAAATGGCATGCAGCTTATCATAGAAGCGGCATGTTTGGGGCTCTGACCTGGAGCGGCCGTTCGCCTCTCTGGTTTTCTGGTAGGCTTGCCTCAGCTCCTTAAGTTTCACGCGGCACTGCTTTGGGTTCCTGTTATGGCCTCTGTCCTTCATGCCCTGGGAGATTTTGACAAAGGTTTTGGCATTTCGAAAACTGAAACGGAGTTCTGATAGCACGGATTCCTCTCCCCATACACTGATCAGATCCCGTACCTTCCGTTCACTCCATGCTGGAGCTCTTTTGTGATTCTGGGACTCCATCATGGTCACCTGCAGCTTGCCACACTGGCCAAATGGGAAATGAGATTCAAAAATTCGCGGTTCTTTTCCTGTCTACCTGGCCAGTGCATCTGAGTTGAGAGTGCTGTCCAGAGTGGTCACAATGGAGCACTCTGGGATAGCTCCTGGAGGCCAGTACCGTTGAATTGTGTCCACAGTACCCCAAATTCGACCCGGCAAGGCCGATTTAAGCGCTAATCCACTTGTCAGGGGTGGAGTAAGGAAATCGATTTTAAGAGCCTGTTAAGTTGAAATAAAGGGCTTCATCGTGTGGACGGGTGCAGGTTTACATCGATTTAACGCTGCTAAATTCGACCTAAAGTCCTAGTGTAGATCAGGGCTAAGGTACCTTAAGGGTTAAATGCTAAATACCAAAGCCAAACAACACTCGTTACCTGTGTCTGGCAAAAAGCATTTCTCAGTTTTGCAACTTTGAATGAAAGATTCAAATGGATTTTAGTGGTGTTATTTAAAAACAAAACAAAACCAATTTATCTTAAACCTACAAAACAAGAGTTTTACAAACCAGGAGTCAATTATCAGGGGGTAGCCATGTTAGTCTGTATCCACAAAAACAACGAGGAGTCCGGTGGCACCTTATTATTATTATACTGACACATGAAGAGAAGGGAGTTACCTAACAAGCGGAAAACCAGTGTTGGACACATGAAGAGAAGGGAGTTACCTAACAAGTGGAGAAACAGTGTTAGCCAACACTGGTTCTCCATTTGTTAGGAAACTTCCTTGTCTTCATGTGTCAATATAATAATGCCTGCATCTGTAATTTTCACTTCCTGCTTCTGAAGAAGTGGGTTTTTTACCCACAAAAGCTTATGCCAAAATAAATCTGTTAGTCTTTAAGGGGAAACCAGGAGTGTTGGTTTAGGTTATAAACACTCCAGATATTTACACAATATATTTATACACACATTCTTTTTTTCTTAACATCCCTTGCTCTGCTTTAATTTTTACACAGCTGTACGTAGATTACATTTGTATACATTTGGGGGCAGGTAAGTTCCAATAGAAGCCTCTTATGTTCTTTTAGCGAATTTGACTAAATTGTTCATAGTCAAATGATTTAAATCAGACTGTCTCTTTGCCTCATTTATTTACAGACATTCCTTTGGAAAAGGGCCCATTTTTCCTTCAGAATGGCTGCAAAGAAACCAAGAATTATCTTTCTATAACACTTTTCCTTTTTAACATTTTTACAACATTGAACTGCTTAATTCTCTCCAGCCTCTGCAGAGTTAACTTCTCACTCTCTTTCCTTAAATCACTTGCTTATCTCCCAAAATGACACCTTCATCATCTCAGATTTTACCATTGTATTGTCCCAGGGATCTGAAATCCCCTTGCCTGTGCTTACTGCTTCCCTTACTCCTGCCACTATGCCCCTCAAGGCTCCCAACCAGTTTTCCAATCTCTTTATCTGTTGCCTGCCTGCTTGTTTGGGCCCGATCCTGCTTTCCTCGCTGAACTGTCCCTTCCTGTGGGCACTGGCTTTGTCCCACTAACCATTTAGCAAGGAAGGAGGGCTCCTCAACTAGCCCCCACCCCTCCTAGTCCCTTTTCTTAAACATTTTTCTTAAAATTGTGAAATCACAACAATATCCCACACTCCTATATCCTTCAGAGTGAGATCATACAGAAATCTACTCCTAATTTGCCCACACTTTGTGCTGGGATTTACAAAACACAAAAAGTCTATACCCACTAAAAACTCTGCCTGACAGAGCTGGAGGGGGGGAAAGCTAAGTCCCGTACCTTTTGGGCTCAATCCTGCTAAGACCGAGGGTATATTCACCTATGCAATTTTTCCCTGATAGACGGGTAGGAGCAAGGAATCTAATCCTCCCCCTATTGCCCGGCACTTCTACGACCAGGAGTGTGCACACCTGAATGATCACTCACTTTATATATATGGTATACCTTTTAGCAATATTTTCAACAATCACAGTGCATGTCTTCCCCCTTTCGCAATTCTCCACCAAAAATGTTATGCTTATAAGAAACACACGGGATCTTTTTGAGGGGAAAAGGCAACACGCCCCGATTATTGGAGATACAACAATTAGCATATGCATTCAATCACACACACACACACTGTCCTGCCAGTTGATGTTATAGTTACCAGTCCAGAGTCCGGATCAATCTAGTGGCCAGCTAGATTGATCACGGGTAGGGAGGAGCCGGGTTCCGTCGGTCGCAACAAGATGCTCCGGGGAAGTCTTGGCAGGATGAAACCAACGTTTCATGGCAAGGCCCCCTGTTTATATTGTGATTTTCCTTCATTGGGACCCATGAGTTTTGCACCGTCATGCTGTAACCAATTGCTGGAGTGCTTGTTTTCTTAAATTGTTTTTCTCATCCTTTATCTTGTTCTTTCATCAGTCTCTCAGGGAGTTACCCCATGCTAGTTTTGATCACAGCTATCTTGTCCCCATTGATGGGTGCCTGCCACATCTTTTAGAGTTGTCAATCTGCCATCCTCTGACATCTCAATAGGGGCATCTTGCAATCTCCTGTCGCCTTTACATCCGGTGATGGCCTTCACACTTATCTTCTAACATACACATTCCTCATTCACACACAAAACAGGATTGATTTTACACAAAGCATTTGAACAGGAACATCAAGTTGCAATGCAAAAGAAAACAATCATTACATTCTTTTATTTACTTCAAAAATGCTAAACCTACAACAAAATGGTGACTCTAAAGGTCTGTCACTGCCTTGAAATCAGCTTCAGACACAAGATTCTGGCTGATGCATCTTTACCAATGGCACACTAGGCCATTCATTTCTGCTTTCAGAAAGAGTGGTTAGCAGAATATGATCAAATCATACATCAATACATTTAATGCATGCTACATTATTATTCTTTATCCTTTATTCTAAATTATACAAAATACAAACATAAAATCCTACTACTACATATCCCCCTTTTGACCCCTCAAGAACAATTCTTAAGTGGGTCTTATTTTATACAACTGTTTCATAGCAATATACTGAGAGGCCATTTGAGCTTGTAATTTAACAAACATTCTTTTTGTCCAACAGCACATACAACACATTCCTAGCAAGCAAACACAGGACAATATTAACACAACTAGCAATGGGTGAAACATGATAAACAATATGCCCTTAGAAGTCGGGGACCAGCCTGTAAAAACATCATACCAATGATAGGCTGTTCGTTCTTTTTCAGACCTAGCAATTTTTAGCATGTGTCCATTTGCATGTAATATTTGAATGACACGCTTCCCTATATCCCAATTTTGTATTGTAGACATACCCTCTGTGTCTGTTGTAAAAACGGAGTCACCTTGGTTTCTGACAACAAGTGATCAATTAAATCGTGCGAGTCCAGACCAAGGGTAACAGAGAAATTAACCAGGGTAGCAGGTATAGTGCTCTGTGCTTTTTCTATCTTTGGTAAATTGTACATGTGATTGCTAGTATATAATACGCTGGCATTACATCTATATTCATCCACTGGGGGTTGGCTGATACTTGCATCTTCCCAAAATACTGTTTCCCGGGATGTAACACATACACAATGTCCGTTGTACAAAGCATGCATAACATTTTCTAGTTCATCCCACACACGTGTTCCCAAGGATGTATCCCTACTACATGGTTCTGTGGTGACAGGTAGGGAAAAGCACACCCATTTCTGAGGGCTCCACTCCGTACACCCTTGGGTATACAATAATTTCTCCTCTTTCCCAGCCCACTGACTCATAACCCGGGGTAACCAAAAGGATCCTATGGTCAGTTTTGGGAGCGGGCTCACTTTCCATATTTCTGTCTCCACAGACTGTCGGTGAGCAATTTTAACAATAATTTCACCTAATAGCAAATCAGGCTTAAACATGCTGGAAACATATTGCATCCATTCATATTCGTAGGTGTTGAACTAGGACCTATTCCGTTGTTTTAAAAGATGTGTTAATACCCTAACATTCCCAGATATTACTCAAAACATTTCATGTTCAAGTGATGCTAAACTAAGAATTTGTGTCTCAGTACATCCTACAGCCAAGGCAGTTTTATTCCCTAATTCTAGTTGTTGTTTATACAGCAGCCACGTGGTGGTGTTCAACCACCACCATATATTCCGTGTTGGTTTTAGGTTTCCTAGTTCTATTTGTACCAAGTCCACAGTAGTATCTGCCTGCTTGTGAATGAGACTATCTTGCAGTTGTGACAAGGAACTTAACTTATTCTTAATTACCACCAGGTCTACAGTATTCATAATCTCTGCTCCAAAACCCTATTAACAGACTGGCATTCCTTGACCTCCGCCGTTCTGCAACACTGGTTTCTGTAAATACAGTTAAAATGCTTATTAATCCTTTTCTGCCTAATGCAGTAGGGTTTGTTTTTTTTTGTAACACAATACACAATAATGCTAGCAACAAGACAAACAACACAAGACAAAACTTAAAACACAAAACACAATTTTTGTCGTGAAAGTAGATTCTTGGTATTCCGGGTTGCTCTTCAGATGGTACCAGCTTTTCCTGAAGTTCTGAAAGACAAAAAGAACATTTTTCTACCCCTTTTGGGGTGGCAGATTATTGCTTAAAATATCCCTTCCTTTTACAAATATCCTTGCTGATTGCAGGCAAAACAGAGGAATTACCCCTGTACTTTCCTGTGTTTTTGTTCTATAGGGCTTTTAGCCTTTAAGGGTTGAGGATAAATGATCTCACTGTTCAGTTATGAAATGCTGCACCTAGAGTGGCAGGGCCCTTACTGGCTTGGTCTCTGAGCTGAAAAGAGCCATGTTCTCCAAGGGGTAGCTCTTTCGGCAGCTGACTCCAGAGCTCTCCATGCAAGCACCCTGCGGGTGGAGCTGGTGGTTCGGTGTCTGTTTGTGCTTGGGGCCTTGGCCCCGGGACTCAGCTTGGAGCCCAGACAGACAGATGAACCCTGGAGGGTAGATCCCAGTTGCTCCCAGTCAAATGTGCAGCAGGGCAGGATGTTACATCCTCGGCATTTTGTAACCAGCTGGGGCTGTTGCAACACCCCTCATCCTTTCTTGTAAGGGGCTGGTGTGGGGTGGAAACCACAGATGAAAGGGTCTCTCTGTGCAGGAGCCAGTTCCAGTGTCCCTGGGGGAGGGAGGGATGGGAGTCTGGACTGGGTGCGATGCATGGGGTGTGCAGTGTCCTCACTGGTGCCCCTGATCGGTATGATCCTGAGCAGAGAGGCCCTGTCCCAGCCTTTTGGAGCAGGGCGCGCACTGTCCTCAGCCACTCTCACAGCATGACTGAGTAGTCATGGTCTGTGTCCCCCTCTGGGGTGCTGTGTACTGACGTTCCCCCTCTATGGTGGCTCTGCTCCCGGATGGAGAGGATCTGTCTTTGGCTCGAGCCCTGGCTGTGGCGCGGTCCCTTCCAGCACAGCTGGGAGAGCTCCCTGCGGAACTTGACACCAGCGAAGGCATACACCAGGGGGTTGAGGCAGCAGTGCAGCAGGCCAAGCACTTCAGTCACCAGCAGCCCGAAGTCCAACACCCGCTCCAGGGCGCAGTGGCGGCCAACATAGCCCAGGCGTTGCAGACTGTCCAGCAGCAGGAAGACGTGGAAGGGGGCCCAGCAAAGCACAAAGAGTGCCAGCAGCAGCAGCACCAGCCGCAGTGGGCGGTGCCTGGCCAGCAGCTGTGCCCGATCCAGTGTGCAGAAAATGCGGCCATAGCAGAAGAGCATCACCAGCAGCGGCAACAGGAAGCCTAGGAAGAAGGAGGTGAGGCACAGCCCCACCCGCCAGGCCTGGGCTTCATGGGCTCTGAAGCCCCGGTGGCAGATGGAGGCACGGCCCTGGGGCTGGAAGGGCACAGTGCGGAAGTACAGCTCCGGGATGGAGAGGGCCAGGCAGATGGCCCAGAGGAGGGCGCAGGCCAGGTGCAGGTGCAGGGCTCGCAGACGCCGGAACAGCTGCATGGCATGCACAATGGCCAGATACCGGTTGATGCTGATGCCAGCGAGGAGCAGGATGCTGCTGTAGCTGTTCACAGTCGACAGCGCCCCCACCAGTTTGCAGAGCACCTCCCCGAACACCCAGCCATGGGCAAACTGCGTAGCCCAGAAGGGGAGCCCCAGCACCAGCAGTATGTCAGCCAGCGCCAGCTGGAAGAGATACCTGTCCGCCAGGTGCCAGGGGCATCGTCGCCACCCCAGCACCACCAACACCAGCCCATTCCCCGCCAGCCCCACCACAAAGACCAGGGCGAAGACAGGGGGGATGAAGTACCGTCCAAACGCACCGACCGCATCCAGCCTGCAGGGGGCAGTGTCCTCACTGATGTCTGGGTAGCTGGTGTAGTCCTGGGAGGGAGAGACAGAGAGGAGGGCTTAGAGGGGATGCCAGAGAGAGTCGCCCGTTTACCTGCCATCTGTAGCCTTTGTGACTGTGCCAGGCAGGGGCGCCTGGGCTGACACCAGCATAACCCAGAAGGGGGAATTAGAGGGGAATGACAGACATACCGGTGACATCGCCTGCCAAGCCTTGCTGAGCCATGTGGGGTGGGGCTCTCTGTGGACAGCTTTTATTTTTTCCTATGTGCTCGCCATGGGAGGCGGATGCTGGAGAGTGGGCTGAATAATAATGATTTGCACCTGGTTGTGGCATGGGGGCAGCTGGCAGCATTAGTAATCAAACATCATGATAGTCTTCTTGTTCCCTTGGCCTTCCCGATCTGTTACCTCAGTATTTGCGAGCAGGGACTAGGGTGACCAGATGTCCCGATTTTATAGGGACAGTCCTGGTATTTGGGGCTTTTTCTTATATAGGTGCCTATTATCCCCCAGCCCCTGTCCTGATTTTTCACCCTTGCTATCTGGTCACCCTAGCAGGGACTCCTGTACAGTCCCCAGCACAATGGGGCCCCAGGCCTTGCATGGGCCCTGTTGGGGCCACACCCACAGAAATGGAAATGGACGATGGGTAGAAGTTTCAGAAGTTCCAGTGCCTTAGCCTCCTAAATCCCATTTTCAAGAGATGTGGGGATTTGAGACCCTTGAAAACAGCACTTTGGTTCGTAAATCACTCAGGTGTTGGCGAAAGTTTTACCTATGGGGCATATGCTGCTGGTATTATGGTAGGGCCCCTATAGGATACATCTGCCCTTCGTTCTTGCTGCTTTAAATGTGAAAGCTCAGTGTGTTTCAGTTACTGTCCTGTTTAAAACATCTCTGGAGCGTTGCACAGTCATTTTGGCTTTGCAGTGCACATCTGTTGCCTTCTCATTCTGGCTGTAAGTGATGGGCCATAAATCATAGAATCATAGAATATCAGGGTTGGAAGGGACCTCAGGAGGTCATCTAGTCCAACCCCCTGCTCAAAGCAGGACCAATCCCCAACTAAATCATCCCAGCCAGGGCTTTGTCAAGCCAGGCCTTAAAAACCTCTAAGGAAGGAGATTCCACCACCACCCTAGGTAACGCATTCCAGTGCTTCACCACCCTCCTAGTGAAAAAGCTTTTCCTAATATCCAACCTAAACCTCACCCACTGCAACTTGAGACCATTACTCCTTGTTCTGTCATCTGCTACCACTGAGAGCAGTCTAGATCCATCCTCTTGGGAACCTCCTTTCAGGTAGTTGAAAGCAGCTATCAAATCCCCCCTCATTCTTCTCTTCTGCAGACTAAATAATCCCAGTTCCCGCAGTCTCTCCTCATAAGTCATGTGTTCCCGTCCCCTAATCATTTTTGTTGCCCTCTGCTGGACTCTTTCCGATTTTTCCACATCCTTCTTGTAGTGTGGGGCCCAAAACTGGACACAGTACTCCAGATGAGGCCTCACCAATGCCAAATAGAGGGGAATGATCACACCACTCAATCTACTGGCAATGCTCCTACTTATACAGCCCAAAATGCCACTGGCCTTCTTGGCAACAATGGCACACTGTTGACTCTTATCCAGCTTTGCGTCCACTGTAACCCTCTAGGTCCTTTTCTGCAGAACTGCTGCCTAGCCATTCGGTCCCTAGTCTGTAACGGTGCATGGGATTCTTCCGTCCTAAGTGCAGGACTCTGCACTTGTCCTTGTTGAACCTCATCAGATTTCTTTTGGTCCAATCCTCTAATTTGTCTAGGTCCCTCTGTATCCTATCCCTACCCTCCAAGGCCCCAAGGCTGCCTTTATCAGCTTCAAATGAGTAATGATCAGTCTCACTCACTGCGCAGCAGGAACGTGTCTTCACTTACTATTAAACACACTAGGGTCAGGTTTGAAGAATTTAGCCTGGAAGCCAGCCCCCAAACTCCCGGTCAGCTCAATTAGCATTCCCCAAAGGTTAAATATCACACTGGGGCAAATGTGTCTAATACAAACCCCCCATGCCCCCGGTCAGAGTCTGGCCTCCGTGGCCATCACACCGATGACACCGTCTGACTTCCTGGGTGAATGGCCATTACTAATGCCATTAACCCCCCTGGTTCAGAAATGATACATTAGGATTCCAGCATTCTTTCTCCCAGTGACCCTGTACAATTCAGACCAATGAATAGCTGTGTCACCCCTGCCCTCTGACCTATGGTGCCCTTTACATTGCTTGGTTGCTGTAGCCTCCAGCCTGGACTGCTCACAAACAGCCTCCAACCTGCAAGTCACTCCCAGCTATGTCTGTGTGTGCTGCAGTCAGCCAACCACCCCGGGCTCTCACCAGCCTTGGTTATAGTACCAGATCCCAACCCACTCTCAGATTTTTCTCTAGAAATCTTGGTCCTGTACTGCTCAGCCCTCTCCTGGACAATGCAAGTATGTTAAGTCTTTTATTTCTTTAATATAATCATATGCCAGCATATTATTTCAGAGTTCTTCAGACACTTCCATTTACAGCCACAGGATTCAATAAATCAGTAAAATAAATTTATTAACTGTAAAGAGAGAGATTGTAAGTGAATACAAGTCATGAGGCATAAAAGTCAGAAATGGTTACAAGAAAAATAAAGATAAAAAATGCAACTGGTGCCTCACGTAACAAACTATGTTAAATTCAAAGCAAAGTTTTTCTCACCACATATCCTCAACACTCTTACTGACCAAACTTCTTGGACCAGGACCCCTTCTTCTGTTTAATGGCTTCTTCCTTTGTCCCTTCTTGTGCAATGAATCGATGGACAGAGAGAGAGGGAGGAGGAGGTTTTTTGTGGTGTTTGTCCCCCTTTTTAAAATGTCAGCCCTCCTCTTGGAAAACATTTCCAGCTGAGATTCAGAAGAGCGTGCCCATATGTAAGGATGTTCCCTGCTGGTTTTCCCAACTGCTTGAACTCCCTTTGTCTCCCTTTGTGCTTGATGACTCTGTTTACTGCTTATATGCAAATTAAGCACAGGACACATTCCTTTGTTTGAGACAAACCTCAGTTTGGTACACGTGTTAATAATATCATACAGCGAAATCGTATAACTTCACATCCAAGGTTGCCACATACATTTTATCAGGATAATATTGACCAGCAAATTATGAGTTTTCAAATGATATCTTACAAGACATACCTTGTACACATATTATTACAATAGTGTATAGGGCACGGGCGTGGGGTACATTCTGTTACAGACCCACAGCTTGTGACAAATTTATAGACAGTAAATTGAGCTCTGGAAGACACTTACCTCAGAGAAATCATCAGACACTGTGGTGAGACCCATGTTTCCAATGGACTTGATTCTGCTGCTGGCCAGACCCTCCCTGATCATGCACTGAAACTAAAGGTGAGACCCATAGCAAAAAGCAGAACTGTCCAGCAAGTAATCTTGTAGCTAATAGAAAAGCTTCCGGTGATGAAAGTACTGATTGTGTTAGGGAAAGAAACTACTGATAGGTAGAACCATGAGGCTGGGTGCAGACTAGCAGAGCCCCCCTGTTGAAAAGATTTTAGGGAATGCCTTCTGTTCCCCACAACTTTCACCAGAGTCTATGTGTCTGGTAAATGATTAAATCTCTAGTCCATGTGGGTGAGGTTGACTCCCAGAGTCCTGGATGCCCCATGACTGTTTTGGAGGAAGGGAAGAGGGACAGGAAAGCTTTAATTTGCGAGGCTGTACTAGGTGGAGAGGGAGGAAAGATTTGATCTGGGGTGTCTGTGCTTGGAGGTGGCATGCGTTGAACAACAGACCATAACCTGTTCTCCCCAAAAAGCAGCCCTTTGTGCAGTTTGATGCACTCTGGGAGCCCTGCTGCTCTGGTGGGAATGGGAGCTGCAGCTGTGATTCCTGATGATGTGCATTTCTGATGTGCTGCCAGCAGTTGTTTGTTTTCTTGTCTGAATGGGGCAGATGCCTCCATTGCAGGGCTGTGGAGCTAGAGGTATGGGCCACCTGGCTGTCTTTAGGGCACATAAGGAAAGACTTGATCTTACTGATGATCATTCAATAGCAAAAAGAAAAGGAGGACTTGTGGCACCTTAGAGACTAACACATTTATTTGAGCATAAGCTTTTGTGAGCTACAGCTCACTTCATCGGATGCATTCCGTGGAAAATACAGTGGGGAGATTTATATACATAGAGAACATGAAACAATGGGTGTTACCATACACACTGTAACAAGAAAAGGAGTACTTGTGGCCCCTTAGAGACTAACCAATTTATTTGAGCATGAGCTTTCGTGAGCTACGAAAGCTCATGCTCAAATAAATTGGTTAGTCTCTAAGGTGCCACAAGTACTCCTTTTCTTTTTGCGAATACAGACTAACACGGCTGTTACTCTGAAACTGTAACAAGAGTGATCACTTAAGGTGAGCTATTACCAGTAGGAGAGCGGGGGGTGGGGGGAACCTTTTGTAGTGATAATCAAGGTGGGCCATGTCCAGCAGTTGACAAGAATGTGTGAGGAACTGGGGGGGAGGGGGCGTGTGGGGATAATAAACATGGGGAAATAGTTTTACTTTGTGTAATGACCCATCCACTCACAGTCTTTATTCAAGCCTAAGTTAATTGTATCCAGTTTGCAAATTAATTCTAATTCAGCAGTCTCTCGTTGGAGTCTGTTTTTGAAGTTTTGTTGTTGAAGAACTGCCACTTTTAGGTCTGTAATCGAGTGACCAAAGAGACTGAAGTGTTCTCCGACTGGTTTTTGAATGTTATAATTCTTGACGTCGATTTGTGTCCATTTATTCTTTGACGTAGAGACTGTCCAGTTTGACCAATGTACATGGCAGAGGGGCATTGCTGGCACATGATGGCATATATCACATTAGTAGATGTGCAGGTGAATGAGCCTCTGATAGTGTGGCTGATGTGATTAGGCCCTAAGATGGTGTCCCCTGAATAGATATGTGGACACAGTTGGCAACGGGCTTTGTTGCAAGGATAGGTTCCTGGGTTAGTGGTTCTGTTGTGTGGTGTGTGGTTGCTGGTGAGTATTTGCTTCAGGTTGGGGGGCTGTCTGTAAGCAAGGACTGGCCTGTCTCCCAAGATCTGTGAGACTGATGGGTCATCCTTCAGGATAGCTTGTAGATCCTTGATGATGCGTTGGAGAGGTTTTAGTTGGGGGCTGAAGGTGATGGCTAGTGGCATTCTGTTATTTTCTTTGTTGGGCCTGTCCTGTAGTAGGTGACTTCTGGGAACTCTTCGGGCTCTGTCAATCTGTTTCTTCACTTCAGCAGGTGGGTACTGTAGTTGTAAGAACGCTTGATAGAGATCTTGGAGGTGTTTGTCTCTGTCTTTGGGGTTGGAGCAAATACGGTTGTATCATAGAGCTTGGCTGTAGACAGTGGATCGTGTGGTGTGGTCTGGATGAAAGCTGAAGGCATGTAGGTAGGAATAGCGGTCAGTAGGCTTCCGGTATAGGGTGGTGTTTATGTGACCATCGCTTATTAGCATCGTAGTGTCCAGGAAGTGGATCTCTTGTGTGGACTGGTCCAGGTTGAGGTTGATGGTGGGATGGAAATTGTTGAAATCATGGTGGAATTCCTCAAGGGCTTCTTTTCCATGGGTCCAGATGATGAAGATGTCATCAATGTAGCACAAGTAGAGTAGGGGCATTAGGGGACGAGAGCTGAGGAAGTGTTGTTCTAAGTCAGCCATAAAAATATTGGCATACTGTGGGACCATGCGGGTACCCATAGCAGTGCCGCTGATTTGAAGGTATACATTGTCCCCAAATGTGAAATAGTTATGGGTGAGGACAAAGTCAGAAAGTTCAGCTACCAGGTTTGCTGTGACATTATCGGGGTTAGTGTTCTTGACGGCTTGTAGTCCATCTTTGTGTGGAATGTTGGTGTAGAGGGCTTCTACATCCACAGTGGCCAGGATGGTGTTTTCAGGAAGATCACCGATGGATTGTAGTTTCCTCAGGAAGTCAGTGGTGTCTCGAAGATAGCTAGAAGTGCTGGTAGCGTAGGGCCTGAGGAAGGAGTCTACATAGCCAGACAATCCTGCTGTCAGGGTGCCAATGCCTGAGATGATGGGGCATCCAGGATTTCCAGGTTTATGGATCTTGGGTAGGAGATAGAATACCCCAGGTCGGGGTTCCAGGGGTGTGTCTTTGCGGATTTCTTCTTGTGCTTTTTCAGGGAGTTTCTTGAGCTAATGGTGTAGTTTCTTTTGGTAACCCTCAGTGGGATCAGAGGGTAATGGCTTGTAGAAAGTGGTGTTTGACAGCTGCTGAGCAGCCTCTTGTTCATATTTCGACCTATTCATGATGACGACAGCAACTCCTTTGTCAGCCTTTTTGATTATGATGTCAGAGTTGTTTCTGAGGCTGTGGATGGCATTGTGTTCTGCACGGCTGAGGTTATGGGGCAAGTGATGCTGCTTTTCCACAATTTCAGCCCGTGCACGTCGGCGGAAGCACTCTATGTAGAAGTCCAGTCTACTGTTTCGACCTTCAGGAGGAGTCCACCCAGAATCCTTCTCTTTGTAGTCTTGGTAGGAAGGTCTCTGTGGGTCAGCAAGGGAGCAAGTCCCAAAATGGGATTTGCAGCGTGCTGCCACTGGAGGCCGCTGGTGGGAATTCCTGAGCCATCAGTGTAATATCACTCACCACTGACTGAACTTGGCTTTGCCTCAGTGTGTGTCAGTGTAATTGTCAAAAATGCCAGCCTGAACACCGAGCAGCACTGATTCCGAAACTGTGGTTTGCTTTTGTTTTACAAGCAATCAGCCCTGAGCGCACCCTCCTTGTCAGCATGTCCCTGGAAGGCACATCATCCTTGCTGTGCACAGATCCACTTTCCTCCCTGTGGGACAATGCAGCGCTAGGCTGGGTAGATCCAGGGCTGGATCGATTTGGGATTTAATAATTTGGGTTATGGAAGTGCCTCGAGGGTCCCAGTACCAATTGAGGACCCCCTACTGCATTGGGCACCACATAGATGCTGAGATTGAAGTGGGGAAGGGGAAATTGCACTGAGTGCTGCAGAAACCCCTGGTGAGATTGGGCCCACATTGTGCCAGGCACCGTACAAACACTGAGATGGGGGAGGAGGGCATTGCAGATTGTTGTGTGGGCTCCAGCACAGATTGGGGTCCCGTTGTGCTGAGCGCTGCACAGACACAGAGTGAGACAGTCCCTGCCCCAAAGAGCTTGCAAAGGTTTGTGCATGTGAATATTGTTACTTGTGTGCATCGCTGGGTTTGGTGGGAAAGCCCACTGGGGACACTGCTTGCACATCATAGTGAGTGTGTTAGATTCAGTGTGAAGAGCCCATTAGGGATGTGTTGGGTTAAGCAAGAAGGCCCCCTTGGGGATGCTGCTGGCGAGTTGTTGGGGATGTGCTGGGATTGGTGGGAAGGCCCCATTGGGGATGCTGCTCATGTGTCATCAAGGCCATGTTGGGATGAGTGGAAAGGCCCTGTTTGGGACATGGTAGGTTGAGTGGGAAGAGCCCCACCACGGAGGTGGCAGGCTGGGCAGAAATGGCCCATTGAGGATGCTGCTCACACATGAGGCAGTTGCAGTGAGTTTGTCAGGATGGTTTCCTTTGGGGACGCTGCTCATGTACATACGTCTTTTCCAGGTTGGACCTTATCTTAGGGGAACTCATAGGAATTAGGACGAGGCACCAGCCTGAGGATCTCCATGCCCTGTGTAGCCTGCTGGCCCATCGCAGGCTTCCCGTAGCGTCCAGGTACTGCACGTGTCCCAGGTGGCTAGTGAGCTGCCGGCTGCATCCAGGTCCCTGGCCTGTAAGTGAAATCCTGGCCCCTAGTCTACATGGGATGTCGCTTCTCTGCCCTGCACTCACTTTCCCCTCAAGCTGATATATTGTGGCTTTTCTCTGTCTTTGCTGCTGTTTCCCCACTAGTTCCTGTTTCAGAGTTTACCCCGAGGAGAACGTGGAGTGATAACCTGCTCCTCTCCCTTCCCCCCACTACAGGCTTGGTCCTTTGTTGACAGGTTTAAACCGTGGGAGAGGAAATGTTCATGCCGACATGGTCACAATGTGACCATCTCACTGGTCTCTGGGGGAAAATGTGAGGCACACAGGCAGGGAGTTAACTATAGAACTATAGAGCTAGTTGTGGTTGGCGTGGTCAGCTAGTTAGCTCATGCATGCTAGCAAGAGCCATTTACATCAGTTTTCAGGATGCTTCCAGGTGCAAATATCGCTTGTGAACGGTTTAGCGATAGTGTGCTGGAGCATGTTTGAGTCTTTGCTGACTTCACTTGTCACTTTCTGCCACCATCCTGCCCACTAGGGAAGGTACAAAGCTGTCAGGAGCCTGCTGTCTGTGCCTGCAGATGCACGAGCTCAGGGGCTGTTGGTCCCC